TTTTCATTCTTAGGAATGTCTAAATTCAGTTAAACTAGCAATTCCGTATTATATTTATAAATCTTTATAACATTATACAAAAATTAGATTTTTCTTAAAAATTGAAATTTTGCCGGGAATGGGGCTTTAATCTAGATATTTTATATAGGCCTAAAGACATTTTATTAAAAGAAAGTTTTTTGAAAGTTGGAATTCTGTACATCTATAGAAACCAAAATAAAGTTCTAAAGAAACTCTATACAGTAGATGATTGTTTTGTTCAGGTTCTAAAATATTCTTTAGAGTTTCTATCAACTTTCTAAAGAACCATATGGTGTTTTAATAGAATTCTATTAAGACATCATTTGAATTCCTATAGATTTTCTACAGAAACTCTATAGGTCAGCTTAGAAAATTACATAGAATCAGCCTATAGAAACTCTATAGAATTCTGATTTATTTCTATAAGCATTCTATAACTTTATATATGTATTCTTTAGAATGTTTATATTTTTCTATAAAATAATCTCTATGGAAATACTAATAATTCTATAGAATTTTTAACAGAAATTCAAAATTCTGTAGACATTTTATAGAAACCTGTGTATTTTTCTATGAAAATTCTATCAACTTTCTATAGATTTTTTTCATAATGGTAATTTTCTATAAGTTTTTCTATATAATTCGTCTAACTTTCTATAGAATTGTATGTGAATTCTATAAAAGTCGATATAATTATTGAAAATTCTATATAAATTCTATATAAAAAAAAGTTCTATAGTAATTGTTGTAGTTCTATAGAAAATAAAAAATGTTTCTAAAGAAACTCTATAAAATTTAGTTTTTCTATAAATACTCTAAGTAAATTCTATAATTATTCTAATAATCTATTTTTCTTAGATTTTTTTTTTCCTACAAAATTTCTTTAGAGGTTCTAAGAACACTCTATAGAACTCTATCGGACTTCTTCAGGATTTCTATTTAAACTACATCAAAACACCTTTAGCGACCTTGTAGAAAATCTATTAAAACTCTATAAAGCTGGTTCAGAAAATCATATAGAATTAGCCTATAGAAATGCTGTAGAAATTTTATAGAATGGTTTCTTTAGAAATTCTATACATTATTTTCCTACGGGAGGCCTATATAACATTCCCGTCCCTTCACCATACGATCGATTGGAAACCGCTGCTGTAGGCATTCCCCTGTGCATGACATCTTCAGTTCATGAGCTTGACCTTTGATCCTTTCAACACTTCTCTCGTGGCTTAGAAATAATTCAAAGCATTCGTTGTAGTCATAATAATCGATTCTGCGATAACAAACCATGTGATAATTCATTAGTATAATTGGATTATAATTAGAATTTTATTGCATTAGGGTGTGAATAATTTTATAGTTATACCGGTAAATAACCATAAGATATTTTTGTAAATAAAAATAGTACTTCTAACAAATAACGGTAGCTTTAAGATTGTCTATAAATTTTAGCTAGATATAGATAACATAACTAGATAATCGAATTTATCAGTGCCACAAATATGATGGTAATAATAGTTTCAACAATTATTAAATATATGATCTATAACGATTATGTTTATATGACTTAATTGGACCATTATAGTAGACTAATATGTTTTAGTTAAAGTTCAGGGGAGGATCCAGAGGAAAATACGGGTAGTGGTCATGCGACGTGCAAAGCGCCGAGCAGGGGAGGGGTAGTGGTGTTTGAGTTTTTGTTTTATAATGCTTGAACATAGATACATGGTAGTGGAATTTTAATCGAGAGTTGCTCCCCTCTTTCTCCTTTCATTTCTTTTCTTTTCCATTGAGGGTGGGGCTGGCCCTGTGCCTCCCTTGGATCTGCCCCTGTAATTGAATTACCGTACTCGCGCGAATAAGCGCCCGGGCGCTTAAAATATTTTTTTTTGCACTTTTTAAGGGGCGCTTATTCAAACGGGGCGCCTATTTAAACGGGGCGCTTATGAAAACAGAGAGTGGAAATTGAGGGGGCGCTTACATGGAAATATAATGCCGTTTTACGAAATCAAAAAGTTCAAAATTCTTAAAATTATTTCCCCTGAACCCTAACCAGGCCTCAGGTGGATATGGTAGACTTGTCTTACCTCAGCCTCAACCAACCATGGTGGCTGAGGTGGATGGTAATATTAAGTACCGGTATCCAATGCTGTTTTCGGGCATCTATAAAGTCTAAAATTCTTTAAATCTACTCATCTGCGCCTCAAATATAGATTTATTTTTTTCCAATTCAACAGTGAATTATCGTCACTAGGTGAGGCTCAAATGTTATGGTAGATTTTATAATTGCAATATTCAAATACTACTTTCGGGCATCTATAAGTCTCAAATTCTTAAAATTGTTGTTTTTAGTAAGTATTCAAGTGCCATTTTTCGGGCACCTATTTAGGCCTAATTAATTTCTTTGTTTTACTCAATATGTCAATAAAAAGATATAAAAAATTATAATTTAAGTTCCATTTACGGGCAACCAGAGGTACAAAATATTGAAAATTTCTCACGTCACCACCAACCATGGTAGCGCTCACGTGATGTGGGCTCGACGAAATGCAGTGCTGTTGATAATAATTTAAAGACGTAATAGTTTAAAGCTGGTAACCTCGATTATACTATGTTCTACATTAGCTGGCGATAGTAGTTACAAAGCTGTGGGGCAATTTTCGTTACATTAGCTGTTGAGCGTTCTTAGCTGTGAGGCAATTTTCGTTACTACATTAGCTGTTGAGCGTTCTACATTAGCTGGGGATGATTTTCTTTTTACTACATAAACTGTTGGTGTTTCTACATTAGCGGAGAGTTTTTCTACATAAGCTGTGGAGTGTGCTACATTAACGGTTGTTACTACATTAGCTGTTGTTATAGCATCCATATTATAGTCATCACAAGACTATTGCCATGTTATTGTACGTGTTACTTTTAGGCCTACTTGAAGCTCAATCAAATCATACTGAAGTGCTTTCTGACTTTTTTTTCATAGAAAATCTATGCTATTATAGTTTGATAAGGCACTTGCCTTGTAATAGGTAAATATATTTGCGGTCTGTCTTATTTCTACAATCAACCTCGGAGTCGAATACAAAGTGGCTGTGATAAATCGTTTCAATTTGTATTTACTCAGCAGAGTGCACGAGGCATTTGTTACCATCGATTACGTTCCATTTTATAGGATGGAGAACATTTACTACACTCATAATGCTAATATTATAAAACAATAAAACGATCATGATCAAACTAACTCAAAAAGTAAAGCAGCAAGTCATTATTTTAAACACGATGTAACATTATGCATTATAACTGTTATGTGTTAATGTGAGCTCCTGATCTTATAAATTCTTAAGGCCAACTCAGACAGCGTCTACCGATACCGAGAGTAGATTTTAGGTTTTGGATTGACAATGAAGTTAAAACTTTTATCGTAGCTACGACTGGACGTATCTCATAATTTTGTAGGACGGTTATGTAGATGTATTTGCACTATGGTTCGAAATGCGCTTTACCAAAGTCTGTCTGTCTTTTTTTTGGTCAGGAGACTCAAGGCCCCAGAAGGGTTTGGTCACCCAAAATAATACTTAGGGTCAAAATGGCTCCATTGCATGTTAAATCTTGTATGTCAAATATGACCCTCCATGAATCAAATGGTTTCATCAACAATCTGATAGCATTACCAAAATAATTCAGTTTGTATTAATTCATTGTTTTACGTTTTTTTGTTTTTGTTTTTGTTTTTTTTTGCATCATTTATTCATAAGGCCTACTCATATTATGGTTAGTAATGCTTTGTATATTGTTGTTATAAAAGTTCTGGTCGTTGCACTCCCATGCTTTGTTCTTAAGTTAATATTTCATTTTATTTCCGTAAAACCTTCCCAGGGCAGTAGTGAGCATAATAAATTTGTAGTACAGTCGATGCAGACTTGTTAATCACAACAAGCCTCATATTTTGTTTGGAAGTTTTATGCCGGACACACTGTCATGGTATCACAATAGTCTTGATAGCAATCGGATACATGTTCAAATGCTGCCAGATATTGATATAGAAACTTTCTGTACATTATGCATTAGCGGAAATAATACAGAAAATATTGTAGATTTCGATCCACGTTTATTTTAAACCTATTAAAACGAGATCATAACAAATTTAATGTGAATATATGGCATATATTCACATGATACATAATTCTTTAAAATAGTATTAATTATTTTATCTTAAACAACATGTCACATGCATGTATGTGTTCCATGCCAATTACAAAATCAAACAACATAATTAACATATTCCAGAACATAATTATAATTTAATATAACAATTTCGTCTGTCAGAAATTTTGAGGATAAAGGCGATATATTCGTTATAATGAATTAGGCTTAAATTCGTGTTCCAAAATTCATCAACGTGGTATTTGGTTTTATAAACGTACAATAATTATAGTAATACTACATTATAAGAATTCAAAACACAGCTTATATATATAGATTAATTAGTTATATAGAGCATGCCGCATAAACATTTCACTCATAACTTTCTGGGCTTGGTCGCTATTTTTAACATAGGAAACTTTATACTGACCATTAAGTTACTGAGTTTAATACTTTTCAGTGTCTCATGCACATTGTGAATAATAAAAAATAGTGATTAACCTCAATAATTACGATTTATATAATTAAAATCAAGGCTATGAATATTCATCAAGTACACAATTTGCAAATAATGGCCTATGGAGATCGTGTATACCGAATTTATAGTGACCTGGGGCACTAATGTTCATAGACAGACCTCCATGGGTAATATTCACTAGGTTGTCCAAACAGGTGTTTGGTTATAATGCTGGTTAATAAACAGAATGCTCAAGTGCTCTATGGGACAATATGGTATACAAAAAATAAGGCCTATCCTTCTGATTACGTATTCAGTAAGGGACGGAAACATTCACAGAAAGGATCACTTTAATCCATTAACAAAAAAATGTCAAAAATTTGAATACTAAAAATCTAAATCTAAAATTTACCATTATCTATAGTTGAGCTGCGTGTTAATCTTCCTAATTTGGTATTTCTATATTATTTTTCTATTATATTGCAAACTTAGCCTTATTGTGTAATCGATCTACAAAATGTGTATATACAACAATCTATATTTAATACTTTATTAATATACCTAAAAAATTGATTAAAATCTAGCAACTTAAAAAAAAAACAAACAAAGCATGCATGGAATTTTATCACTGGTAATAGTAGGTAACTTTTCACCAAATGAAATTTCTATCAATGATTAAAAATTCATTTATCAGCTCAAAATACTTTGAAGGAACTTTATGAACTAATTAAATTTACAAATTGATTCTGACAACCTTTTACACTTTACACTTTTAGATAATAATAGAAAATTATCAAATGGATGTCATGATCATTTTTATCATAAAAGTTTATACAATTGTTTATTAATGAAATTTCTGAACATTACTAACATTATCATACTGTCACATCTCTGTGAGCAGGGGGAAGATGTAATGATAAGCAAGAGGCAAGGGGAATTTATGAAGGGGAAGGGGTGGTTCAAAATAGTCAAAAAGTTCCATTTCTTAGTGGAAAAAAAAAATTTGGCACAAACTTTTTTTTGTAATCAATGGATTTCAAACCCAAGACTACAACAAATAACCACTACTAACTACAACCTCCCAACTTTCCACCACCCCCACTATTCTTATAATAATCTGCGAACCTTATCCGATGTTTGCATTTCAACCATTTCACTCCACTGTAAGAAAAGAATACACATGCAATCAATTTTCAGCCAAGGTCTGTCCCAATGTCATTAAAACATTTTCTAGTTTAAAATAGCTGGTAGAAAATATATATTACAACATACCCTTGCATTTGTCTTCAAAAATTATCAAATTGATACTAAACCTAATCACATGTAAGCAGTTACAATTATGCTAAAGAAGCAGCAAGGTGCATTTACACATTATTCTTTGAATGGCTAGTTCATTTAATATTTAAAGATAAATATTATATATTTCTGAGCATTACTATCAATAGTATGATACTGTACTATATGATACTTCATGAACATTCCTGATTATGACATAATTAATGTTGAAATATTAAATCCCAACACAATAGCATGTATTTAAATACTTGTAGTATGTATTATACTTTCTTATATTATATCATACTCTAAAAATTTAAGTTCGCTTTAAAATGAGAAAACAAGCTATCACCTTCAAATGAAACACAGACTGAAATTATTAAATTTTTAATCATTCATTTTTTGTCTGTTAATTAATAAGAAAAAATATTTTCTTATTCTAATTTCAATTGAAAGCTGACAACATTCTCAATTACACAAAGTAAGAATTTCAAATTTACAATTATATTTGTCAATTATGATTAGCTCAAAATAATATTGTTAAAGGTTTGCAAGTTAATCTATAGTTTAAGTTTGCAGTAAACCATGTACATAGTTCTGCAAAGGATGGATGTGTTGAGAGTGTTACAAACATGTCAAATACATTGCTCTATTCGTATCAGTATACTGAAGATGAAAACATTGAGAAAAGAGGAACATAAGACAATCAACACATCAGATCCCTCGGAACTTGAGACCAGTTTAAGACCTGAAAATCTGAGGAGGTCTCTTTCAGTCTCCACTTACAGGGTTAGCCCTGTGTTAAGATTGTTATTTGTTAGTTGTCTCTAATTAGAGGGTCCCAGAATTACAGGGTGCCTTATGTGGTGTACTGCAATACAATAACTCAACATTGACATGGTATATTCAAGGATCTTTGTATTATAGTAATGGCAGTGAGAAAGAGATTGTAATTAGTAAGTATCTGAATTGATAGCAAATATTAAAAAGTTATATTGAAGCAAGTGCTAAAACATGTATCTAAATACATTTATAAAAGCAAAACCTAAATTCTTACGCAGAATAGACATTTTATAATTTGTAAAACTCATTCAAACCTAACTTAAAGATATAACACAGAAACTTTGCTGGGGGAGGGGGTGGATTTAAAGAATGGTGCACCCACAGCAACACTGCTGGGGGTAGTCGGGGGCGTACACCTTGTGTTCAAATCCATACACATGGAAGTGACTCATCTTGCCTTTCCACTGATAATTGGCCTCTGCCACCGGTATCACACGCACTTGCTGCCGCTAGATATCAGAAAAATACAGAAAGGAATATTTTAGAAAAAATATTTACTATCCACCAAGCCCGACTAAATAACAACATTAAAAAGAAATTATGGGAGACTATTATTTTAGTGGTAACACCTTTCAGTTTGGCTATATTGATCTTTTATTCAACTGCCAACCAAACATCTCTCAATCAAATCTGTTTGGCTTAAAAGTCCATTGGTGACATGTGTATCAGCCACATGGCAGATGAATCATTCCAACACCACAGACTAAAAACAAACTCTGTAATTTTCGGTATATTTTGGAGTAAATGACATACCATACACTGTACTCTAGTATAAGCCTGTCTTATATAGTCCAGTAACCAGGACACATTATGGGGGTCCACTTATGGAAGCCAGGTGTCCAGGGGGAACTTGGCCCAATTGTGGAGTAAAAGGAAAGAGCTCCAGTGGAGTGGAAGCACCCTAGCATGTAAATAGCGAATTTCATAATCATTTTCATAATATCTGATGTAATGAGGTTTGGTTTATCAGGGAAGAGGGGGGGGGGGGAGAGTGTGGGAGTTTATTTGACTCCTATACAACAAACCAACACTAATTACTGAGTACATGTCATAAAATATATCCCTCTCCCTTATATTGATTACATAACCACTTCTATAATGATAAATAAGCCACCCCTCATGAGAGCATCTCGACAAAGCAAAGTTTATAACCCTTCATTCTAGAACATACCATTTTAAGAATTCTGGCCATTTGGTGACTGGACAAGCTACGATTCACAAGCTGCTGAGATGCCTGGTTAATGTTGTTGTCAGGAAACTGATTCAAAGGCCAAACCTACAAATAATATGCAAATCATATACATATATTATTAAGATAAAATAGAAATCATATAAATTACATAACATTTTTTTTTTCACATTATAAAGGAAGGTGATGAAGGTAAAAATTATGATTATGATGATTACAAATGTGATGAAAATGATGATTTTGAAGAGTAAAATAATGATTCTAATGATAAAGATCATGATGATTTTTTGATTTTGATTGGTTAGGATTAATGATTATGGTAATGGTGATTATGACAACGATATTGAGGATGTTTATAATGCTGATTACACATGATACTTAAAAAATGTTGAATATGAACATGATATATCTTCTTAAAAATATATTTAAAGGTAATAATGATAATGTTGAACACAATGTTAGATATTAACTTTGTTAATATTTAATTTGTCTTTTGGTGCTTTTGCTTTCGGCTTCATCAAGAAGTAAGGCTAGGCCTAATCTAGTCCTTCACCTTGTTTATCATTGTTTATCGTCTACTCGCTTGATATGTGACGAGGTCAAGGGCCAATCTCGTCGTAGAGGTCACAGTCCGCTTTACCGCCAGCAGCGCGATGTTAAATGGGCCTAGAGTTTGCATCGCGACAGGTCAAGAAAGTACTATTTTTGAGGGGAATAGTACTTTTTGAGGGGAATAGTATGTTCTATTGCCCCGCTTCTTAACCAATCAGATGCCTAGAATCTATGTATGAGGTATATAATATCAACTAATCTTGTTCTGGTCCTGAAACTGGTCTGTCACTGAAGGTAATAATAATGATGTTTCTGATGACAGTGCTGGATGTTAACATGATATATCAATTATTTTTTAGCTGGGCCTTACACTGATCTGTTCCTTGTTACCGGTGGTAATAATGATGATGATGCTGAAGACATTATTAAATATTATTATGATATATTAAATATTCCTTGGATGTGCCTTACCCTGATCTGCTCTTCCTTCAATGCAATTTCACCAGTAACATGCTTAATGAGCTCATCAGGTAGAGCTGTCCTTTCCACAACATGATCATCAACATGATTGGTCCTAAAGCAGAATAAACATTCATGCTATCTCATCATTCAAGTGCTTAAAAACAACTAAGCACAATAAAACAAAAATATTTTGTTTTCACGAATAAGTACAAACTACTTTATGCCTCTTCATGAAGTGATATATTATCTTTACACATCTAATGATCACAGCCTAAACACTTATTTATATCCTACACCACTCTTTGTTTAAATATGTACATTTTTTTGTTTGTTATTTGAGTGTTAATATTGTTTGAACATTTGCATGGCAAAGTATTTGTGTGTTATTACTGTATTTATTTATTTTTTTACTTAATAGTGCCTTTCTTTGCAGACACAAAACATTTCTTTCCCAAATCATTGGGTCCACATGTTTCTGCTACAATCAACACAGGAGCAGCAAACCCCACCAGGTACCCACTTATACTCCTGGGAAGAGAGAAGCAATGCAGATAAAGTGCGTTGCTCAATGATACCAGCAACCTTGAGGTTGGGAAACCCTACTGTTTCCGCTGCGCCAAACTGCTTCTTTTATAGGATGGGAAGTTGAAGTTTAAATGCTGTGAGACACCAGCATTTCTTCTCATGACACAAAAAAAAAAAAAACAACTCCACTCTCATAAACACTTTCCATTCTAAATCCATTGCAAGTGTACTTGCTTTGGATGTAAAATAAAGGTAAGATAGGTTTACATACCATGTGACTGTTAACTGAATGAAGCACTTCAAGTTAGCCATACCATCACAGGTCTTACAGCGAATCTGTCCGTGTCCGTGGCAGGTGGAGCACCTAGAAAGAGAAGGCGGTTATGTATTGTGAAGCTTAATTCGCACTATCAAATTTTATGTGACAAATTTGTGTGATGTCATATTGATGTCACTGAAACTAAAATTTGCTAGTGTGAACAGAGCTTATGTTGTTGACGACCAATCAGTTATAGTCAAATATAAAGCTCTGTTCAGATTATCAAATTGCCATTGGCTAAAAACTGTTGTATGCCCAAAAATAGTCACGATAAGCTTATACTGTACATGGTCATGATGTGATGTCAGCATGACCATATTTAGACATGTCACATGTTTTTGTCAAATAAAATCTGAAAGTGTTGATAATAATAACAGTAATAATAAATAATAATAATTGTCTGATTTCATTATGATGTTAATGAAATGTGTTATTACAATTTTAAAGTACATTTATTTATTTATTATTTAAAGTTTTTTCATCATATTTTGAGCAGGCGACCCTTACAGAGCATGTCTGATGATCAGAGTTTTGATTTTAATTTGATTTATTTTGCATTCAGTGTAACACATTACGATAAAATAAAGAGAAAATACATACAGATATAAGAGAAAAAATTCATTGAATGCCTGGATAACCCATTAAGTCTTGTGTTAGTACACCAGACTTATTTCCAATGGGGTCCAGAAGCCAGGGCAATTATTGCACAGAGGTGAATATTTACAGATAGTTAGAGATCGGGCAACATTCAGAAAATATAGAGGACGCCCACATTACTTACCGCTTGCGTCCTAATCCAGAACAATGGTGACATGGTTCATGGTGATGACCACCTCCATGGTGACCATGGTGATGACCTCCATGGTGACCTCCATGGTGACTTCCATGGTGACCTCCGTGGTGACCTCCATGGTGTCCGCCGTGATGATCGGCAACAAGAGTCCTCCCAGTTCCACCACAGAAGCTGCACCGAAGCTGAAGAAGTAGATATGTGTTAACAAGATCTTGTAATCTCGAAAGCACCGATGAGGGCAGTATAATAGAGCAGTAGAGTACATTGGCCCTAACGGCCGTCATACAAAAAATATTAATCTATCAGTCAAGTGATGCCAGTGGCCGCACATAAAAAAAAATTCATTAATTAATAACTTAGCAGGTACTCCTTGAGCTCCTCATCGGAGCTAAAAATAACAACAAAATAAGAGTATAATGTATATTAAAGAGTGATATGTAAATCAAATAAAAAAACACTAACAATTATGCGAGAAAATAATCAATACAATTCTGAATTCTTACTTAAAACTAAATAATTGTAAAACAAGTTCATCAAAGTTTATCAAAAATAAATATTAACGTATTTCATTTTATATTTAAAATAATATTAACATCAAATGTGTGTTATTTTAGAATTACCTACACTGCATCAATGTTTACAAACTAAAAATTACAATAAATGAATTATGACCTCGTCATTTTCATTTCCACTAATGTTCCTATCCCCAAGCGGGCACTAACTTGATATAGTGCCTGGTAGTTTGTGTCTCTCATGTGCAAAAATATACATTGCGATGAAAATTAACCAATGTTGCTCTACAGCAGGGGTGGGCATAAAAATTGGTCAAAGGACCAAGAGAATTTTTGATTTAACACCAAGGGCCGCACCCAAACTTTGATGTTTCCAGTGAGCTTCCAAAAACCTCCAAGAACTGCTTTTACACCACTTTCTTATCAGTTTTAAGTTACTTTTCACACATGATCGGTGTCGGGCCGTAAAAACAAGGTGTTTTTCTAGTCAATGTTACTTGGCAGGCCGCACACATAGGGTTTTAATTCATTCTCGAGCGCTGCAAAAAATTGCTGTCGGGCTGCATACGTCCCACAGGCCGCACATTGCCCACCTGTGCTCTACGCGTTTGTGAACTCGAATGAAGCTAACATTTAAGATAGGTGTTGGCCTAGTAGATCTGTGATTGGCTGTCATGTTGTACTTAGAACAAGACATCCTAGCTAAGATAAATGTTTTGTGTACAAGTACGCATGCAAAGAATGCTACTTATATGATATTACGTGTACGTACTCGTCCACGACCAAAGCACGTGTGACATCTCCTTCTTCCATTACCGTGGCAGTCATGACAAGGCTTTAAAGAACAAAAATAATAATTAGCATAGATAAACGTAGATAAAGTGTCTTGCCCAAGGACAAAAGCAACTTGCACAGCAAAGGCTTGAACCCTCGACCACGAGGCTGAGAGTCCAAGTCACAGCCACAGCGCCAACCACTGGTATTTGGGAAGGCTGAAGAGTGCGACTACATGAGTGGGTGAGATTACCTTGACTGATGCTGTATGTGGTACTTCGATCTTCATTACATTTTTCTTGAACAGGAAGGGTGGGGCAGCTGGGATATCCCATGGGCTAGGAGCTGGCCCATTTGCTGGACTATCAATTGGTTGGCCTAAAAAAATTGATGTTAATAATTAGAATATTTAGAATCTACTGTATTAATGCAAATTGATGAAATAACTAACGAAAAATGCTTTAGTAGGGTGTCATGATAATTTTTATTGATCCTGATTTATTTCATATAGACATTTGTGGTGTCGTGAAAGAATGATTTGTTTTTGTACCCCTGGTCAAATTGTCCAAAAAGAGGTTTGAAAGTTTTTGATAAGTATAATTCATGAGTTGAGTTACATTAAGAGGATTTTAAGGCAAATTTCAGTTTAGAGGCGATATTTACAAAAATGTTTTCAGGCAGATGAATTTCAAAATGCTCATACAGCAGCTCTTCTCAACCTATGAACCTAATTCAAAGACAAAGCTTATAATGTGATTTAAATGAAAATGAGGCTAAGACAATTGGTTGTAGCGCCTAAGCAAAAACATACTACTAAGACTAAATGAAATAATATACTTGTTTAATTTTAACACTATTTTGTTTTCTGAATGAAATTGAAAATATTCAATTTTTGGAACAATTTCTTTGTTTTGATTTACCTTGCTCTGCTCACGATGTTTAAAAGATAGGTTTATGCTCAGAGGGAATGTGTCGTGAGTCAATGCCAGTTGTGCCTAAGCATGGCACTGCTAAAGTAGCATCTAATCCAACATGTATTCATAGATTACTGATATTGTAGATTGATTATATAAAAAAAAACCCACCACTCCCCACCTAAAAATTTTGTTGAGATGTGATGCTAAACAAGTAAAAGTTCCCTTTTTAAAAATAGAATAAAACATTGTTTTTCATTTTTGGTACCACAAAACTGTTTTTGTGACAACACTTTATTATATTTATAATATCAATTCTTAACCAGTAGCAACAAAACCTAACAATGGCCATTTTATGACAGCAACAATTTTGCAGTCTTTGTAACTTGATCAGTTACCAACCTTGGAGTCCATGAACTGAAGGCCATTAGAATACCTGTAGCCAAGACAACAACTTATAAAAGCATAAAAAATGGAATAAGTGACATGTGAAAAACATTTTCTGAATACATTTGATATTGTGAATTGGGGTATTCATTATTGTTTTCTTAGCAAGGCGTGCTAGGAGTGGACTTTATAAATCGTTGGATATTTCTATCATGTTATTAATTATTTGCTACTGGATTAATCTAAAAAGAAAACAAAATCATTTCTTACCTCTAAATGGTTCGTAAGTCCAATTTGTTGACCTGTTTTCTGTAAATGTTTCCAGAGTATACTTAAAAAAAAACAAACCAAAATCCATAAAACACCAGTGTAATTGAATTTATGTTTCATTGCAATTTAGATATGACATCTCCAGAATACAGAGTATATATAGAAATCCTTTTCCACCTCCACTGCTGCTAAGTTCACACTGTCAAGGTTTTATAAAAATACTTGTGATTTTTCTACATTTAAAATTTTTGATAGGACATAATCATATTCATTCCTATATGGATGTGATATTACATCACCATGGCAACATCTGCATGTCATAAACAAAGTAAAGATAATATGGGCTGCTGGAACCACATAATTTAACTATAAATGCTATACATGTCTAAAATTTAAAAACTGTTATTTAAAATATTAAAAAAGATTGACAAGTTAGGTCACTACAACAAAATCAACAAACAAGAGGATCATTCTCCCTGATTATAAAAACTTGCATTCAAACTTATAATTAATTAGTTGTCACTGGTTTCGTTTTTTAAGCAGAAAAATATTGATTTTTTTATAGCGAATAATGCTTAAAGAAACAATGATCACTATTGAGATAATAATCAATAGATTGGACATAAGAAATTGAAACTACTACTTGAAAATCTACATATCTTTTTCATATCTAGAATTATATATAGTGTACTTTCAAAATAATCTAAAGGAAATCTAGAGGAAACAATAACCATACTGTACTCTACTGATTACAATAGATACACTTTTTTTTTTATTTATAAGAACACATTTTACAAGAACACTGAGGCTGAAATTGCTTAAAAATTAAGACCAATTTAAGAAAAAACTGAGGTAAAATTTTTTTTTTTTTTAAATAGAAAAACCAACTTTATCGGTACCTTAAGGCCAACTCCCAGTGTCGTACGACGCAGCCCGACGCGAATTATCATCGGGGACAGTCTTGAGCCGTCGTGAGAAATATTAAACTTTTTTTAATATTCTACGATGAGACTGCTCCCGACGCACACCATCGCGTCTGCGTTTAACTCACAGACCTGACGCGCCAACAAATCGCATCGATCTGCGTTGGCCTATACTTGTTGTAGGTGTGACTATGTAATACTTTCTATACTACTACCAGTAAAGTAATACATTATTGTACAATAATCATTTTCTATTTTTGAAAAGTGTGTACATATAAGAACAAAATAAGAGCATTTTGAGCCTGAAATCGACAAATAAGTAACAACACTGAGCCTGGGCAAAATTTTACTGGTTCTTATAAAAAAAAAAGTGTAAATTGATTGACGAGTACATTTACTTCTTGTTTTTTTTTTTTCTGTTTGTTTTCTTTCTGCCTTAGAGATCCCTCGATAATTTTACACACTTTTGATTTCTTTAGAGGGCTTTTGGTTGTATTTTTTTATCTTAAAATGTTGTAAAACAATAATTAAAAGTTTTCTGCTGATCACAAGGCATAGGATAATATATAAATCTTAGTACTGTCTGATAAACAACTGTTACAATACGAATTGTATACTAGCAGTAATGATAGCTACAGCAATGCCATCATAATAACGTAAATGTTCCTTTGACAAACATTATCTAGGTTGTGCAATGTTATTTTATAAAGGGCAATGGATCCATAAAAATTGTATTTGACAAAAAGCTGTCCATATATAGTCATGTTGTGACATCACATCATGACTATATTTAGGCATGTCACATGTTTTTGGCAAATAAAATTGTATAGGTTCTGGACAGGCCTATAGGGGTATTCAATCAGGGTTGTAGCAGTAGAACATTAAGGTTGCATGGGTGATAACACTGGTACACTAACAATAAGAGTAGAGTTTAAGTAGAGGTAGGTGGAGGGGTTATTAATTAGCTTCTACAAAACTTGGTGGCCCATCTCCATTAACTCTAAAAAAACACTACCTCTTTTTTGACCTCTGAGCGATCATTCGATGGCAAATTCATGTGAAGCAGTAGTTACATCTTCCTAGATATTTATTTTTGTCTCAAACCATTAAAAAAACATGCATAATTCACTTAAATTCTTTAGAAACATAACCGATCTTTTACACTTGACCCAATTATCTGGAAGAAGAAGTCATAAGTTTATGTTATCTAGACTATCAGAGACATTTGAAATATGTCTCAACATTTTGGATTGCTTTTGTAGCAAAACCATAGTTCTTTTCCCTTTGTAACTCTATCACAACTCATTGGATACTTAGTGGAAACCAAGAAGTTGATATCAGTGCCAAAGACATAGAAGCTATTAATACACATCTACTTTAAAAACAAAAGGTAATTAATTAAACATGGATGACAAAACAGTTTTGAGTGAGGAAACTATGGCTATTAAAAAAAGTGTAAGTTGGACTATGCTTGTATTACGATGCTCAAAAGCAAATAGAGGAAGGAGAAATGTTACATCAGAAAAAAGTACAGACTAATTAAATCAAAAACTTTTGATGCACGTCTGATGAATTGTATACTGTGTCAAATGAAACCATGTTTTTCTTATGGTGTATTGTGCCTTTAAAATATTTTGCTCATTCAGACTCAGAATAGCTAATTAACAATCATAAATTACCATCAAAATCAGAATATCAATTACTGAAAAACACTCTATAACTGATGATAGTGAATACCTTGTCCAAGGACACATGCAAAACTAGAGCAGCTCTCTATAGCGTGCATACTTCCGCCCTCTGCCAGAATATTGAATAACACATGCCGGGCATTATGGGTGAGACAGTCAATTACATTATTTTTGTTTATGCTTGAGGGGCAAGCTTCAAGGAAATTTTGCGAACTTCTGTAACTTGGGACTTTTCTTTTCACCCTAAAATATAATCATCTCTTTCTCAGACCCATATCTACCACTAAATTTTATGAAGATCCACTCATTAGTCTTAGCATAATCCTGGTAGCAGGCAAAGAGTGGTGAATACATAACCTCCTCCGGAAAGGTAAAAAAATGTGATTCTAACACCTAAATCTCAAGGATTAGATCTCAAACAACATTTGCTATGCCAACTGCTCTCACAAAATATGAGCTCAAGACCTGAATACAAGAAAACAACAATGATCTTACATGGAATGCGCTGGTGTGAGTGATGTCGGTGAAGACAAGTTCTTGTGCAGCATTTTTGCCATAGCAACAGTTCTCCGACACAAACTGTAACAGAGCTTCTCTTGCCTGTTCTTCTGTAATATTTGGCATTCTGAAAAAAAGTGAAGTTAGATATTGCAAAATGTAGATGAGCTTGCCAATTTTGACTTTTGGTTTTGAGATTTTCTTGAGCTTTTAATATTTTTAGCCCTTGATTTGTGTTATTAATTTGTTTATGTGTTGTCAGTGATTTTCAGCATTATTATAGTCGAAGTTTAATGAACTTTATGATATCATACATCGCCATTGTGATTTAAAATTACATACATTTCATTAATAATCCACTATCCAAATGAAGCATTGTGGTAAAATTATAAATAAATTATCATAAAATCTAACCTATCAAAATAAATCAAAAGGGAGTAAATGCGGAAGTAGAAAAAACTAGACGATGAACAGCGCCATAAAGTAGTACACAAGTTAAAAAATCATCCATACATTTTCACTTAATGGGCTTACATCGATATTATTCGAGTTATGCAATAATTACTACAAAACACATTAATATTATAAGATTACATTGGTCCTAGTTTTATTATTAGGTGATAGTCCGATACGATCAGCTTATCGGCAGGCCACGATAGCGATAAGCATACGGGATGAATGCGCTAAGTGCACCTTCAATGTGCGGCCCTCCAAGGCCAGGTTTAGCCTAGGCCTAGTTATTTTTAGTTGAGTTTCAAAAAAGGCTCATTACAGTTGCCTATTCAGTCATAATGTGACTATCTTATCAGGTGTTATTATTTTTATAAAATGTTATAATTTAACAAATTGAAATTGTTTGTTGGCCTTCAGAAATCAGTGTCAATATATCACACAAATATATTTAATAATTATACAAGATACAGTTACAAATTTATTGGTCAACATGCACAACTTGGGCCACATGAAATTCGTTTTTCAGGCGCTTTGACAGAGAATAAAAATACAATTTTAAAAATCACAAAAGATATGCAAATAAGTACATATTAAAAAGAAACATCATTCATTCATTAAAAAAAAACACATTTATTATCATCTTCAAAAATAAACAAATTACAATACAGTATTGTAAAACCAATTTAATGATTTTTAAGGAGGGCATAGCCAAAAAAAAAAGCAATGCAATACAGAAGTTGGAGCATAAACTACTTAAAAGACTACTACAAAAATATTCAAGTTTTTCTTTGTTAATTAAAGACATAAAATACATATATAGATATAATAGCTGTAATCATTCACAAAATTATAAATTCCTTAAAGCAATTCGTATACCATCAATTAAATGTTTTAGCTGTAGTCGCAATTTTAGGAAGAGCTAAGCAAATCCGCTAATGATTAAACATATGATTTCTCTTCAATGTCGTCTGTATAAGCAGGAATTGGTATTAAACGGAACAGTAAATCACATCTGCAAAAAAAGATAAAATAACATTCTCAAATTTACAACAACCATTTAACTTTGGAGGGGGAAGGGGCTGTTTGCAGAAAAGAATAGGAAAATAATGGATGCCCTTACTGTACTGGCTACTTCATTGGCTAAGTAATGAAGAACAGATACTACAGATATATTGTTTATTGTGCATTTATGAGCCTGCTGTGTAAAACTATATAAATATGGTTTTGAAAGTTTGAATGCAGTGCTTCTGTTTTGAGCTTTGGCTTATACTTGGCATTATGATACAATACTGAGGTACAAATCCAGAGGTGGCGGAACCCTGGACTTACTATAATTGAAAGCTGCAGATGGCTTGTTCACATCCCAGCATTCTGTTTGTTTGCCATTTCTTGTCCTGTTCATTATCAAAGATGCCCTACAAAGATGCCCTACAAAATTATACTAGAAATTAAAAAAAACGTTTATACAGTGCACTTCTGGACTAAAAAAAACGTACCCTTAATAAGGGTATCCCCTGAATAACCCCTATTAAGAACACTAACCAAAAATGTGGAATTGTTCACTTACTTGAAGCTTTAGCAATGTTTTCATACGATGACATACGTTCCTTATTACAGTAGATTGAGAACTAATTTATAGCAATAATTTGCAATACCAATACAATTTATTTATATGAAATTGGCAGATATGTAATTAAAACAACGATAGTTTTATATGTTCCCAATATTATTTCATGATGCAATGTTAATGACCAATTCTTTTTTTTTCTTCATATTGAGCTTTTTATTGAAGGGATGTGGCACAAATAGAGCAGAGCCTCAGAGTCAAGGGTGCATTTTAGGGTCTGCATTAGAATCCCATATGAAAGTACACAGCAGAGAAAAATAAGTCCCCGTGGTTAAGGTTTACAGTTTACAATATTTTGTTTATATGAGGTAACACATGCAGTAGGCCTATAACGTTGTTCACTCTAATGATTAAGGGGAAAGAATTCTGGTTTATTGTTCAAAGGGTGCCAAAATATAAAGTTGAATGAATTTTTCTTATTTTGAGATTGTTGCATTTGTTGAGATAGAATGAAAAAAAAGTCTGTCAACAGGGGTAATTTAACCAGTTAGGACACTCAGAAAGTTTTCCTGTCCCTGTAATAGGGATTTCTCCTTTATAGGGGTTGGCTGTAGTTGGGGGGCAGACGCAGAATAGGTGCAGATGGTGTAATCACACCACCAAATTGTATTTGGGGGTGGGAGGAAATCTACAGAAATATGACAAATTTTGGTGAATTTTTATTAGTTATTTGATAGGAATCAAGCTACTGCAATATGACTTTATGTATGTTTTTAATGTCAAAATTAAACTAACTTATTTTCAAATCTGGTTTCCATTTTAAAATAAAAAAAAAAACACACCGTATTACATTAAAATACTATCCTCCCATCATGGCGAAATACAGGTTTTTCATAATCGATGTGATTGTGAATTATTAACAACAAAATGACGATTAAGAATAACTGTAAATTGTAAAAGGCAACCAATTTGTAACATTATGCTAGGATAAATTAAGAAAACACAACGTCACCAGGAACATCACAGTACAAGCTTATAATTCAAAGTAAAGTTCTAAATTTTTGAAACTTTGCCTGAAATCTGTAAACCATGAGGTTGCTTCCCCGATTAAGATGTCTTCCAAGCATCATAATGATAAATGTAATGAAAAGTTGACAAAAACATTACACAAATAGGTCAATGAAGGCAATGTGGTTGCTAAACGAACAGACATGTAAAAACATTTTTTTAAGTTTTTTATTCCCTGACGGCCACCCTTCTGGCGCCACCACTAGGCCTAGGCCAACACAGTATATTATTATTAATTACAACTCCCTCCCTGATGATGATAACTAGCAAAATTAACAAGCTAGGCCCTATAGCTTATAATATATTGTTAGTAGGCCTAGGCCCTAGTATGATTAGGCTAGGCAGCAGGCCTAGACCAAGCCTAGAGTACTCAATATACGACATCGCAATAATATACACACACGCCTGCAATCATATACAGTATACGCATGTGTATAGCTAGAGGCCTAGCCTTTCATGCAAAGCTCAGCAAAGCTTGGCAGGCCCTAGGCCTGAATACAACATTCATACCCTACATTAGGCCCCCTCTAATTCATTTTTTTCACTATCACCTCAAGATATCTCCCCTGTCACAACACTTATGAATAACTAAGTTACCAACTGTTACCAAAGAATTTCAATGAGTAATGGTTTTTACAAAGATGTAGAAAAACAAATTTTACTTACTTTTTAGTTGCGTTTAATTGATGAAATTAACCAACGCAGGTCTAAGACAGGCCCCAACTTCAATTAAATACCCGTTCTGAAATCCCACGTGAAAACCGTCAACAACATCTTGCTAGCTTCCTCCGGTACAGTTTTCATGAATTATTATGAATCTACATTATTGTTTTCTCTAATTGTGTTTTCATTGGCTGCTTTAAAATCGTCATTTTATGCTCGATAGATTTTTTTTGTTTATCACACGCGTGTTTACATATAGTTTGTTTACGACAAAGCGCTATTAAACGTTGGGAGCGCTTTAGTTAATTTGTATCAAGAGCCAAGTAACAACAATGACATACTTAAACTATTAATTATTCCTCTATTCCCTAACTTACGTTGAAATTGCTTGTCGTTGAGGGGGCTGGCTTGCAGTCGCATCATCGTACGTTGGCGGTGGCAACGGTTCAGACATTGTGCCGTAACCTGAAATCTGGTCCATCTTTTCCAACGGGGGCGCTGTCGGTCCTGAATCCTGACTCTGCAAATAAATGATAGTTCATTTAGTTCATTTGGATAGTATTAAAGAGATACTTGGACTCATCTCATCGTTGGCAGATTATACAAACTTATACGATACAACCCATTGCAACACAGTTAATCAAAAATTCAAACTCAGGATTTAGAAATGTTCAACAGGAAAAGGAAGATGAACATATGGTAACCAAATTATACCTCAATTCCAACAAAAAACTTACAGTAACACAAGAAGCTGGTTTCGGATATGATAAAAACTAGTGAACAAATTCCTTATGTACATATAATAAATGATCTAAATGATATCGAAAGTAAAAACTAATGAAGCAACAATAGATATTTGTTTATTATTGTGATGCTTTCAGTATTGTTGATAAAAAATTTATATGCAAATTCAAAAGCTATCAGCTAAAAAATCAACAGGAAATGATGAAATACCAAGTAAAATAATCAAACTAGCAATCAACTCCATTGTAGCACCTATCACTAACATTGTTAATTTATCACTTACCACAGGATTTTTTCCCCAAAAATGGAAAAGTGCTAGAATTTGCCCAATGTTAAAAGGTGGTGATAATACTGAGCCATGTAATTATCGACCAATTTCGATACTACCAATTTATTTAAAATTCTTGAACGCACAGTATTTGATCAATTATTCCATATCTCAATTCTTGCTCTCTGATTTATGAAAAACAATCTGGCTTTAGACCTCAATTTTCAACATCCTCTGCCCTCTTAAATGTAACAGAAGACTGGCTTGATGCAATAGACAAAGGAAAGTATGTTGGTCTTATCATGTTAGATTTGAAAAAGGCTTTTGATCATGATATCCTTATCAAAAAATTAAATAATTTTAGATAAGACATAAATAGACACGTAATAGCCTGGTTCAAAAGTTAGCTATCAGGACGTATCCACACCACCAATGTAAATGGAGTATCATCAAAGCAATGTCAAAGCATTTGTGGCATACCCCAGGGATCTATACTGGGGCCACTTCTATTCTTGTTATATGTATGCAGATGACACTGCACTCTATTATACCTCAAAAGATGTAAATGAAGTTATTAACAGAATCAATAACAGACTAAGTTTGAATGTAGATAAGACAGAATTAATGTTTATTGGTACACATCAAAAATTATCTTGGTTATCAAACTTTGACTTAAATATTCATATCAATGGTACCCGTCTTCAAATAGTTACTCATTGTAAACATTTAGGTGTAATAGTTGATGAAACTCTATCATGGAATAAACATGTAGATCATATTAGGACCAAAGTTCTTCCAGGCTTGTTCTACCTAAAGAAATCAAGCTACTTGCTCCCAATCCCTATGCAATCAGTGTTGTACAATGCTATAGTAGCCCCTTACTTTGATTACTGCAATGTTGTGTGGGGTAGATGTAACAAAACATTAAGAAGTAAATTACAAGTATTACAGAACAGAGCAGCTAAAATAATAACAAATAAACGAAAATATGATTCTAGTACATAGGCACTGGAAGAACTTAAATGGTCCAACCTTGAAGATAGACTTACTTTCAATGAAAAAATAATGATGTACAAAATAATGAATGACTTGACTCCCAATTATTTAAGAATTAAATTTTCACAAAGGCAATCAGCATATAATACTAGATCTACAAATAACCTGTACATAGATAAACCTAATACAGAGTATTAAAAAAAAAAATTGGCATATCGTGGTGCTGACTTGTGGAACAATATTGTTGAGACCACAAAATATAGTACCACTCTTAAAATTTTTAAAAAGTTAATTTCAACATATTTTTTTAAGTGTACAGTTTTTTTGGTAGTATCTTTGTTTCTTCCTTATCCACTATTTGTATTTGTAAGTAGTTCTTGTTTGATTTCATGATCTGATACCATATGGGCAATTCCATAAATTCGGACGTACATTTCAGACACTTTGTGAATCTATAATTTCATAATGAAGCTTGCAATTTATTTTTTTTAAAGTTTGCATTACATCTACTGGTTAGTACTATCAAGCCTACAATTTTTATTTTTTAACTCGTATGCGTTACGGAGATACGGGTCAAAATGACCCCGTGACAGACGTAATCAGAGAAAGTGACTTTTCCTACGTCACTTTTTTTTAAAACTCTGTGATGTGTGGGACATTTTTAAAAATATATTTCCCTGTTGTTTTCCACTAATGTGTGGGCTTTCTAGCAGAATAAAAATTTAATTTAATTTTTTTCATTTTCTCTATGAAAACACCATAAAATTACTGTGACGGAGGTACTGTTTTATTGTGATGGACGTACTTGTCTGAATTGTGACGGACGTACACATCTAAAAATACAAAAAAATCTACAATCTAAATTATTTTATTGATTAATTAATATACTGGTATGCTTATATGATATAAAAGTAACAAAATATACTGGATTTTAAACTTTTTTTTTTAATAATGAATGTAAAAAAAAAAAAAATGTACGTCTGTCACATGGTTTTGCTAATTAGTGTAATTAATGGTAGGCTTCCAATTTGCTGTATACACTTGGTATATCTAGTATGCTTTATAACAGAGTTTTGGTAATTTCTTTGTACCTGGTTAGAAAAGGAAATAAACAAATGTTATTTTTCTTGTGACGGACGTACATCCATATTTTCATTATTTTTAAATATTTTTATTAAAAATATGGCGTTAATTACAAAAAGTCAAAAAATTTCACCAAGTTACATAATACATACTAATTCATTATTTTAATGAAAAGTGAATCAGATTCTGATATTTTGCAAGGGAAAAAATTGGAAATTAAAATTATAACTACATTTTCTTTAGTATTTCAAAATATTAATTAATTGTATTGAATTCCAATTATTGTCCATGTGGTAAGTGAATTCTTAATTTTTTTTTTTATTTCACAAAAATATAACTCATTAGCTTCATAATGATGTATCACACATACACATTTGATGTATTTGAATTATTTACCATTTGGTTTACTAATTTACGGAATTGCCCATATGTTAAAGGCACATACAGTATACAGCCTCGTGGAAGAACACCTCCTTGGTGAACGAGCTTCCGTTGTAAAAGAAAGATCTTACTATTATATGCTAATCTTGAATATACAGTACATCAATATAGGATTAAAAAAAAAAAACATAGTTGTAATCTCAGATTTTATAAAAGGATAGCAGACAGTAATGTAATCACTTACAGGAGCACTTGTATTTTTATATTATGTTATTCAGTTCCACAGTATTAACCATCCATATACACATAATAAATCTCAGGCATATCCTGTTTAGTTTAGTATTTAGCTCTCTTTAGTTTAAATACCATCCATATTATTAATGACATATTTAAAAATTCTTATTAGTATTACAATTAATATGTAATACATAATATAATATGGCATTGATCTTTTTCAACCTATGAGAATTGAAAAAAATTATTATTATTATTATTATTTTTAATTAACTGAATATTAGTTTATTACCATTTTTACAACTATATATTTTGATGACCATAAGGTGAACAAAAACAAAATCTTGTGTTGACCATGTTTTGGGAAAATCCGAAAAATGGGTAGGTAGGTAGGTAGTTTTTCTTCTTTTTTTTTTAAAACAAATAATGTGTTTATGCATCAAAAGTAGAAAAAACACAAAAACACAACAAAGACCATTTAAAAATCTATACTGAAGAGTAAAAAGGTCGCATAACACTGTCCTATCGCCTACCCCCAGCAAGATAGGCCTAATGCAGCCTTTTTAGCTCATTAAAAAAAAAATTTTTCATTGTAGTCGAAAAAAACCCAAAAAAACTAAAATACCAAACCTCAATTTCGTACATTTTGGGTCGGTCGGGTGTGACCAACACAAGAACTTTTTTTTTATTTGGCCTAACAGCTCGAGGAAATTATAATGACTACATAAATTATATATATATAATTGTTTTTTGACACTGATGACTTACAATGATGAAGAAGAAGATGACAACGATAATAATAATGAAAATGATAACAATAACTGCCATAATAATGAAAATAATAATGACAATATAACAATATAATAGTAGTTGATTCAAAAAATTTCCATACCTTAGCATTTGGGTTCTCTGCAACATCCTCATCTGGAATATCCCCTTTGTAGGTAGGTTCATCAACGTCCCCCTCTCCCAGCGGTTGAGCTCCACCACTTGGCTGTGGAGCAAAATTTACACCTGGCTGATAACCGCTTTGTTGCGGAGGGTAACCGCCTTGTTGCGGAGGGTAACCACCTTGTTGTGGAGGGTAACCACCTTGTTGTGGTGGGTAACCTCCTTGTTGGGGAGGATAACCCCCCTGTTGGGGTGGGTAGCCACCCTGTTGAGGAGGGTAACCACCCTGTTGAGGAGGGTAACCACCCTGTTGTGGTGGGTATCCACCTTGTTGCTGGTAACCAGGCTGCTGTTGACCTGGATAAGCTCCTGCTTGGGGATTACCTTGTTGAGGTGTATACATTCTGTAAAACATTAAAAAAGCATTAAATATTATAGTTAGCCTTATAGTTAGTGCTGAAATTTGTCATTTCTTATATTGTTCTATAGCAGACTAATGTAGCTACACCTTTTATTCATCACGTAAAAAGTAAAACACAACATGTATAATACTTTACAATAACAAATATTCACTCAAAATGTAAATAAACCATGTTTTTATTACATATTAAAACCATTGGTCTACAATATGTATAAACTATTCTTGAACATGATTACAGATCCTGTATATTATCTCTTATAAACAAGAATTTAATATTACAATTAAATACATCAAATACACAAATAGATGTTATGTTACCATACAAACACAGAATAAGCTTGTTTGATTATTAAGCCCTTCTCAACGTACCTTGATTTAGTACTACCCCACAAGCTTTTCTGTACTTTACTAATGAGAGAAATAATAGCTTGTATAATCCGATTCAAATTCACCATGGAGCCCTTGATTCCTCGTTGGTTTAAGGCATCTGCAGGTCTAATTTTGAAACCCTACAGTCCCTCAGAATGGTTTAGGCCTAGTTAAAGTTACTTGTCACAAGTGCATATCATCAACGTTTTACTGCCTTATGTTATACTTTTATTTGTATCGGCATACTTCTCTAGGGTCTAGTTAGGATATCTCGCTGATGTGGCATACACATTTCACAACAACTTATAAATAAATCATGTTCCCAACTAGAATGGCGGTGGTACAAGGCCTACTGACAACTGGTGCTAATATAGACTAAAAAATATAGACTATTAGTATTTACTATTTCAAAAAACAAACTAACCAGGTTTAAAATCGAAGGATGCAGGCTATAATAATGACGCCCTATATGAAAAAAAAATTGATAATAAATATATTGTGTCGACATTCCTGTGTCATAAAGAATGGTGAAGACGGATATTGTAAGCATGGTTCAAAGGGGATGGGCAGATGTACCAGGTACGGAGCTAATAATACTATTACATCCTGCATCCGTTCTGCGCCCGTGTCGTCTTGCACCCTGCTCCTGTTGCGGTACGATTACAAATTATTTGGGTTGCGCAACTTTACACATTGCATAGGATATAGGCTGGCCTAGGCCTAGCCTTATAGTATACGATCATAATGCTAAAATTTCAGCATCTGTGCCACGTACATACCCCGAATATATAAAAACTTATATTATTGTTTGAATCTCTAATGACGCTAAAAACCTTTCTTTTCTAGGCCTACACGCCATCTTACCTATTTGATGTTTCACCACCACTAGCTCCAACAATCGGTGTTTTCTCGTCGGCCGTCAATGACATATGAATAAATGAAGGGCAACAACCACGTTTATGTCAAAGTTCAGGAAACTGCGAAGCCAAAAGTTTTGAAGTGCGTTTATTGTGTACACGGCACAGCCAAAAATGGCATAAATTCCGGTTGTTTTTTAGGGTTCCCAGTACAGCTGCAAGAAATTTGTGAAAAGGCCCATTAGAGTGTACATTCATATACGCCTCTTTTTATCACATGATTTACCGTATATATACATGAAATGAACTTTGTATTCTTATAAGCCGGTCAAGCGGCACTGCTGATACGGGAATCCCTCTCTCCGCATGACGCAATGACCTGAAATAAATTTATTGTATTTAATCACATGGTTTCTGTAAATTTGTGTTTGAGAGAGTCTGAGATAGCACCGGCTCCTCTCAAGTGGGTAAAATAAAGTACTGTATTGGATTTGTCTTACAGGTGCTGATAATTGGGTCATCCATAGGATACACTTGTGTCTCAATCATTGCGCTCCTTCCATACCCCCACTATTCAAAAAGGTTATAGGCCTAATTAAATAAAACGGTGATTGTTATCATTTTGAGGCTTTTTAGTCTTCATTTCTATAAAAAGAGTACAATGTTCACGGCCTCACAATTATACCGTCGTGAAATTTTGGAAAAAATGGATTGTCAGTAACCATCTAAAATGTAACCAATTTAGAGCACATAGGGCCTATGCCTATTGGAAATAGAGTAGCAATATTGCATAAATTTTCAGGGATAATTTTAAGAGCCAAAAAACTAATAAATAGACAGTTTTAAAAACTCTGCGCTACAGTTTTTTCACTCACCAGAGCGCGGCTAATACTTTTATTTGTTTAAAGTTCTCAATTTTGGCAAAATTGTGGGAAAATTTCAACTGCATTTATTCAATCTTTTTGTTCATTACGCACAAGAACTATGGCGGATACAGGATTTGCTGGGTAGGGGTGGCGAGTGTCAAAAGACCCCAGTATGGTTACGGAATGTCAAGACTACATTATGATGGGCCAACTTAAATTAAAATTAGTATGTTCGATACAGGTATTTTATTCTTTTAAAATAACATACAACTATTACGTAATAGTATGGCAGTTTGATCTTTATCCATCATTTTGCAAGATTTTTTTTAGCAAAGTTGTGTTAGCGATTGTACACCATTTGATTCAAATTTCCAAATTATAAACTTACCGTAACCGGGATATTTTTCAGAAGAAGAAGACATCACCGACAATTTTAGTTATGAAGTAGCGGTTGTCCACTCATGGTGGTCAAATACGATACGATAATGTTGTTTAAATATGATAACGGACAACGTGTAGGCCTATGTGATTTGTTTAGATAAAATAATAAAATCAACAATCTTGTTTGTAGGTTATTTCGACAAACGAAGCGTGGGTGTGTGGGTTATTATTTCAATGTTTGATGACAATGACACAAAGTATCCAATACTCAATTATGTGCTGTAGCACATAAAACAAAAAAGGAAGTGATATAGGCCTATATATATATATAGAACTGGAGGTCGCTGGAACAGAATGTTGCTACTCGGAGTTTCACG